TTATATAATTTAAAAATTATATTTTTATAATTATGTTTTAAAATATAAAATCATTAAATTCACTAGAGAGATTGGTTAAGAACTTCTACCAGGCAACATTTAGTCTGGTTTAAATTACACCAAAGCCATTGTTTCCTTTCCCTTCATCCAACCAGGAAAAAAAAAAAAAAAATTTCAGATGGGTAGTTTGACAACTTTCCTTGGAGAAGGAGAAGGTATCAACCAGGGATAATCAGCCACTGCCCAATTACTGAGCTTTGGTCAGAAAGGGATGGAAGTCCTGGGCTCTTGCTACACTTTATTCATAATTAATCAGAAAACCAGTTATTCTGCTCCTGAATTTTTGGGAACTGTCTGTGTACCCTAAATTAAAATAGTGGTCTAAATTAATAAAATTTTATTATTCCTTTTATTGCTCTCATAAGAAAACAGGGAATAGGCAAAAGCATAAAATACCTAGGCAACTCCACATAACAAGATAATACAAAAAAATTCAGCAAGTGGCTAGGCACAGTGGCTCATGCCTGTAATTCCAGCACTTTGGGAGGCCGAGGTGGGTGGATCACTTGAGGTCAGGAGTTCCAGACCAGCCTGGCCAATATGGTGAAACCCTGTCTCCAGTAAAAATAGAAAAATTAGCCGGTCATGGTGGTGTGCACCTGTAATCCCAGCTACTCGGGAGGCTGAGGCAGGAGAAACACCTGAACTCGGGAGGCAGAGGCTGCAGTGAGCTGAGATCAGGCCACTGTACTCCAGCCTGGGCAACAGGGCGAGACTCCATCTCAAAAAAATAAATAAATAAAAATAATAAAAATTTAGCAAGTGAAAATGAAAGAAATAGATTAACGTATATAAGTTCAAAGACTAGCTTCCTTTTTTCTACAGACAGTTCAGTCATTAAGGAAATACTGTCATCTCTCAATATCTGCAGGAGATTGGTCCTAAGACCCCCAGTGAATGCCAAAATCCCAAGTCCCGTATATAAAATGCACAACTCCCATAATATAAAATGGTGTAGTATTTGCATATAACCTTTGTATGTCCTTCTGCATACTTTAAATCATCTCTAATTACTTATAACACCTATAACGTACAATGTAAATGCTATATAAACTGCTCTTATAGTGTATTGGTTTTTCTTTTCTTTTTTTTTGAGACAGAGTCTTGCTCTTGTTACCCAAGAGTGCAATGGCTGGAGTGCAATGGCATGATCGCGGTTTACTGCAACCCATGCCTCCCGGGTTCAAACAATTCTTTTGCCTCAGCCTCCCGAGTAGCTGGGATTTTTTACAGGTGACTACTACCACACCCAGCTAATTTTTGTATTTTTAGTAGAGACAGGGTTTCACCATGTTGGCCAGGCTGGTCTCGAACTCCTGACCCCGTGATCCACCTGCCTCGGCATCCCAAAGTGCTGGGATTAAAGGCAAAAGCCACCGCACTGGGCTTTTCTTTTTTTCTTTTTTTCTTTTTTTTTAAGACAGAGTCTCACTCTGTTGCCCAGGCTGGAGTGCAATGGTGCGATCTCAGCTCACGGCAACCTCCACCTCCCAGGTTCAACCAATTATCGTGCCTCAGTCCCCAAAGCATCTGAGACTACAGGTGTGTGCCACCACATCCAGCTAATTTTTTTGTATTTTTGGGAGAGATGGGTTTTGCCATGTTGCCCAGGCTGGTCTCCAACTCCTCGGTTCAGGTGATCTGCCTGCCTTGGCCTCCCAAAGTGCTGGGATTCCAGGTGTGAGTGAGCCATTGTGCCTGGACTTGTTTTTTCATTTGTATAATTTTGAATTGTTGTATTGGGCCTTTTAATTTAAAAAAATATATATATTTTTGATCCATGGGTGGTTGAATCCCCAGATATGAAACTTGCACATACAGAGGGCCAACTGTCATTTAGATGTCACTGCATAAATAAGCATTAGCTGTAATTTTTCTTTTTTCTTTTTTTTTTTTTGAGATGGAGTCTTTGCTTTGTCGCCCAGGCTGGAGTGCAGTGGCACAATCTTAGCTCACTGGAACCTCTGCCTCCCAGGTTCAAGCAATTCTCCTGCCTCAGCCTCCCGAGTAGCTGGGACTACAGGTGCATGCCACCACGTCTGGTTAATTAATTATTTTTTTATTTTTAGTAGAGATGGTGCTTTACCATATTGGTCAGGCTGCTCTCGAACTCCTGACCTCAGGTGATCCACCTGCCTCAGCCTCCCAAAGTGCTGGGACGACAGGCGTGAGCCCCCACGCCAGGCCTTCAGCTTGCTTCTTAGGAAAGTACATATTTAATGTCTATTTCCATGGTAAAGAATTATTTATGCTTTGATTTGGGCCTCAACATGAATTTTAAACAGAAATCCATTCAAAGTATATGTGTAATAACCTTTATTTTTTTGGAGACAGTCTCACTGTCGCCCAAGCTGAAGTGCAGTGGTATGATTTCGGCTCACTGCAGCTTCAACCTCCTGGACTCAGCTGATCTTCCCACCTCAGCCTCCTGTAGGTGCACATGACCACACCTGGCTAATTTTTTGTAGAGATTGGGTTTCAACATGCTCCCCAAGCTGCTCTTCAACT